GTGTATAATAACGTAGACCCAACTAATCGATTATTAAATTAGTTGGCAACTATTTTAATAATCGATTTTTAATCGATTAAATAGATTAGTTGTTGCAGCCCTAGTTACCAATATAGTGCAAATCCATATCATGGCACAGAATCACACCAGTAATGACTATGACACCAGTGTACTGCTCACCCCTAGCAGGCACTTAAATACAATGATAATGAGGACTAAAAAAAGGCAGGTGTGAATCATCAAAACAACCAAACAACAAGGACACAGGGCAACAAGACACAGGTGAAGAAACTAATGAACACAGAACTAAGGAACTTACAAGACCTGACACTAAGGAAACAGAAGGAAATACTACACCAGGAGAAAATCAAGAAACAAGTAAAACAGAACAACCAAGGCAGGGGCAGAGAGCCATAAAGAAGACAAATTAAACATATGGATAAACAATATTAAACTAAGGATAAACCAATAAACAACAAAATGAGTGAGAGTGACCTTGAACACACAACTGCCAGGTTATGGGCTTTGTACTACACACCCAACCCACTGAGCTATGCAGCAACACCAGGAACCCAGAAAACACACTAGGGACTAGTACAAAGACAGGGGGAACAGGATGTCTAGCAACACCTGCTGGCCAAACAGGGACAAAATACATAGCACAGGGATGGATGGGCACTGACCCTGACAATCCTCAATTTCTCTTTCATCTATTTAGATATTTTAAGTGACATAGAGCCACCATGTTATGAAGGGCAGTACATTAAAAGTAATTTGACTTTTAACTTGTCCCCAGCCTGAGAACCTTGCTGCAGACCACATACCCAAAGCCAGCGGTTGAGGAAGTGAGCACATTTAATCACAGCGATGGGGTAGGAGAACCTAAGATGCTGCGTGACACACCATCACCTGCACCTCAGCTGGACACCCCAGACAGCCCACTAGACAGCAACCTCCTGCTCTGGGACCCCACAGAGGACCTCCGCTGCCTCACTCGAACCTTCCACCAGCTTCATGACTCAGGTACGGCCTTAAACCTGAGGCTACCACGCCCATTGGCATATTGAATTTGTGTTGGCTAAAATTCACAGTTATTCTAAAAATTTATTTTACTGAGCTGTCCTAAATAAATCTAATTACACTGCAGATCCTATGCTCGGAAGCCACTGCCAAATGTACAGAAATGTTCTGGTTGTTCATGACCTGTATATATGTCTCCGTATGTAAGTGGTTCTTGAATGAGTGCTGCTCAGGACCAATCTTTTATAGCAGCCTTTTAACCTCAGGGTCCATTACCGTTGCTGTTCTTGCACTTCTTGATTCCTCACACCCAAGCATCTGTTCGGGCACCTTGTTGCATGTAAATGCCATAAGAGATTTAATAGTGCCCTACCTTCCATGTGAATTGTATAAATAAGGTACAGAGGACCAGATTGCCTCTGTAGGTGTTCCGGACACACACTACAAATAATTTGCATGCAGAAGATAGCTTCATGATGGCCAATTTTATCTCGGCGTAGTTTTGAGGTCATTCTATGAATCTTCTTTTTGTTAGCACAAAATGTTGTGTCACCTACAAATTCCTGCAGTTTAATATATTTGGTTTTTCCTGGTTGGTGCAATTTAATGGGAATGGAGGTGACCATGGAAACAAGGCCATTAGAGCCTGTCTTCTCCTGTAGGCTGGTACTGGGGGCCTGTGTCGGCTGGTGAGGCCCAGGCGCTGCTTCGGGACGAGCTGGAAGGCACCTTCCTGGTGCGGGACAGCTGCCACCCGCTCTACATGCTGACTCTGTCTCTTAAGACGGCCCGAGGTCCGACCTACGTGCGCATCAAGTACAGCCACGGCCACTTCTGCCTGGACTCCAGCTGCCAGAGCAAACAGTCTCTGCCTGGCTTTGGCAGCGTAGGTGAGCTGGTGCAGAGCTATGCCAGGCCCCGACGCCCGCTCAGCATTGGAGGACATATGGCCCCGCCTGGCCTGACGCTCAGTGACGCCACCGTGCCACTCAGATTGGTGCGTCCGCTGCGGATACGAGAGACCTGTCCCTCCTTGCAGCACCTTGCACGCCTCGCGATTAACCGTGCTGCCCCTGCTCCCGCACAGTTGCCCCTGCCACGTCTGCTGGTACAATACTTACAGGACTACCCTTTCCAACTCTAACTTTGCCAGGGCTTCACCGCGATGGGGGCAGAAGTCAAAGGCCTGATTCCTAAGTGGCCGCAGCAAGGATAAGAAGCATCTTGTACGAATTTGTATTACTAACTGGTTTAGAAGTCTGCAATAAACAATACCTAGAAAACCAGTTTACTATATACAGCATTATGGGAAATGTAGTGTGAGATGTACCTTGTTCTCTCGTTTGTGATTCCAACCCAGGAGGAAAAAAATGAAATGGAATTGAGATATTGCTGCTTCTGGGTATCTCACTGCATAGTCCGCAGTCAGCATGACAAAACATTTCCCCTCTGCATTGTGATCTGAGGGCATGTTTAGATCAAATAAAAGGTGAGCTCACTAACGGATGCACTAACTGGCTTGCTTAGGTCTGAATTAATGCCAGGGCGTGGTCCTTTTAATGGGAATGTCAGGGCCGAAGGGGCAGCCTTGCTGTTCTCTGCCAAACATTTTCAAGCCTTACTTCATCTGTACCATATTCTTCCTGTTGCTAAGACATTTGAATCCAATGCCCTGAAAATAACTAGAGAATTTCTTCTAATACTGTTTAATCGTTGTCCTCCTAGACCAAGCTCTGGTTTTGTAGAAGAATTCTCAGATTCTCCAACTTAATTTTCTGTGTTAGTAATGTCTATGATATTGCAGGTTCATGCTAGTAACCCTAGAAAATCCCTTAATGTGAAATTGTGAAACTTCCTGTTTTAATCTGATACATGATATTATAGTTCTTACCCATAAGAAAGGACAAACCCTTGATCTACTAGTTTAAAATGCACCTCTCTCTTATTTTTATAAATCTGATTTTCTGGAGTCCAATTATAAAATTGTTTGTAAGAATCTCACTCTTCATTCTGGTGTATTAGATGATCCATACAATTAAATAATCTCAAGGGTCTTAATAACTCTTATTTTCTGGAGTCTAGCTCTGCCTGTGTCAAACAGATGATCATTAACTCCGCTCTACATTCAGTAGCCCCTCTGAAAACTCAGACTGTATCCTTCAGATGTTCATTAATAGTTTACAGAAGAACTCTGCATCCCGAAGACTCAGAAATGGAGGCGATGGTGCTTGTAGAGGAATTAATGGGACTTTTAATGGAACCTTTTAATGGAACTTTATTAGAACACAGCATTAATGCCTTTTGTGTGTGTGTGTCCTTTTATTCAGTATTTATTGCTATGTGTGAATGGTTGTTATGCTACTCCACCTGCCTTTTTAAATTGACCCTTGGGTATAAATAAAGTGATTTGAATTAAACTGAATTTAATCAGACCTCTACTGTAAATCACATGGCTTTCAAAGACTACCAGTTTCACTGTATATTTCCTGAAATGAATGTTCATTCACTTCCCTATGCTCCTCAAAGAAAAAACAGAAGCTGTATTAACTGAAAGCCCCTAACCAGTAGTGTTGTAGTCAAGACCGCCTAAACCGAGACCAAGACATT